GAACTCCTCACACAAACGGGCCTAATGGAGTTAGTCCCGGCAGCCACGGCAAAAAAGTCATTCCCACTACTCCGGATACAATCATTTTCCCCGTAGATGATTTCAAAGTATAGCTGTGGAGAGGGCTTATCCATGGGATCTATAAGAAGGCTAGGTTCGATCCCAAACGGCGCTATTGGTACGGTATCTTGGCGTGGCATATCTAGTTGTCTGATTATATTGCGTGCGGCAACACATGGACTGGGCTCTGTACTTTACCACTATTATACCTCAAGTGCTCAAAAAATGATGCGGCTGGGCTGATACCCACCGCGACCTCGTGTGTGCAGCATCGCCACCTTGCAATTGATGTCAAAGCCGGCCAGAACTCGCCGCAGGCGGCCCCTGGAGGGTGCAAGCTGAACATTGAATCGAGTTATCCTCGCCCGCTTTGCCTATCCCTAGGAAAACTCGTTCCTTGGCATTATCATCTTGTGATTCAAGGCTGCAAGTATCTCTGTTACTACGGATAAGCACATCCGGCAGCGTTCCCGATCGGACAATATTGCAGGCGCCCGCACCGCCATTCTCCTATCCCACGGTACGTCAGAGCCAACAAGACGCTGGAAATACTTCTTGTCGACCCTCACACTACTTCATAGACGAAGCAAGGGATTTGACTGGCCCCTCGCTGTTTTTGGGCTGTTATATCCAGAGTGAATACAGCAGCTTACTTGCAGGCCCAAATAGCGAGGAGTGAAGTCATGTCGTCGAGGGTCTTGAATGGAAAGGTTACTCGTGCCATTTTTGGTTCACAATCACTTATTTATTCATTTCCATGGCTCTTGTCACTTCAGAAGCTCCTGGCGTACACTAATATGCTGGTAGGCTTTAGCCCAATTCCAGTGACCGCGGCTAATCTTGATGCAGACGGACATGCTGTTTCTTTGCGCGGGAACTCGATTATTCCTCTTCAGAACCAAAACATTATGCAGCCTCTAACAGGGCACAGATGGCCTTGCGACGCCACGCAGCGACAGCATACCACAATGGCGATCGGCCCTGGGCATCTTGCCGCTTCGCGTCGACCCTCGCATCTGCCAGGAGTAACTTCAAACATCCAGAGTACCAAGCACCGGCCGCATGAGACACAGCTGTCCGTCCGTCGCTGTCCACAGCATTGACATTAATGCCCGGGGATTCAAGCAGCATCTTTATAGTTTCTTCTTGGTCATGCATGCCCGCCAACATAAGGGGTGTCTTCCCATCTCCATCCGCTTGGTTGACATCTGTGCCCTTTTCCAGAAGCATTTGTATCGTCTCTATGTGCCCGTTGGCAGCGGCTTGAGAGATGAGACTCTGATCACCAGTCTCCGGCGCCTTCTCCTTGCTGAGGAGCTCTTCAACCAGTACAGTCCTCCCCGCGGATGCCGCACTAGACAGAATAGAAGCATGAGACACTTCAATCTCGGTTTTTGCCAAAGCCGTGATGACGGCTCTCACCGTCTCATCGGACCCGTGCTCCATGGCATGCTCAACTAACTCCAAGGGAGAGTATATGTCTTTTGCCAAGTGAGTGGGAATGAGCTGCGAGATGACCTGCGGCTTGTCAAGCTCAACTGCCTCTTTGAGAAGTCTTTCGATTGACGTGACGGTTGGAACTTGATCCAAGTCCCCTGTGATAAGCATATAGACAATAGCCCATTTCCGTTCTTCGCGCCTGTGCCAGTCGAAGCAGGGCCCATCCAGCTCGGAGAACTCGCGTAGTGCCCAGTCCAGCGGTGTCCGTCCAGCTGCACATTTGGACATCTTGTCAACTCGCCGCGTTTCGAGGAGCACACGCACGACATCGTCGTAGGCCCGTTCAGCTGCAAGAGATAGAGGGGTCCTCTTATTTTTATCCATGTGTTCGACGTCGACTCCTAGGGCAATAAGCCGAGAGCATACAGCGGCCGAACCGGAACCTGCAGCCCATGAGATGGGAGTCCGGCCATTCTTGTCCGCAACGTCGGCAACAGAAGTGTCGGCGGCGCTCAACAGCTCAAACGTCGGCGCCGACGACGTCGAATGAATGCAGGCGTATGACAACGGTGTCCGTCCATTGTCAGCGGCCAGAGTCACTTTGATCCCGGGTCTCCCCAGTAGCAGTTCTATTGTCTGGTCCGAGCCGCCGCCTGCGGCATGTGAAAGTGGCGTGCGCCCAGTTTCATCGGCACGGTTGACGTCCACGGCAGTATTCTGCAGAAGCAACTTCACAATGGCGACCCGGTCCAGCTCCGCAGCGTACGAGAGCGGTGTTCGGCCGGATTTGTCTGGCTCGTCAACGGGAACACCCATTTTCACGAGAAGAGGGAAAATTTCACCGTTATCCGCCATGGCTGCGTGGTGGATGAGATTCCGACCCTGCTTGTCCACGTGTAGCGCGTGTGTTGTCGCCATGAGCGTTCGTGTCACTGATGACATATTGGACTTGACCGACCACAGTAAAGGGGACATGCCCATGTTATCCAGGGCAGTACCATCTATCCCGCTCTGTCTTGCCAATGTATGTGCGGTATGAACATCTTTACTCTGTATAGCTGATAAGAGCGCGTCTTGTTTACCACTGTCAATGGCTCTCGGGACGGGCTCATCATGCTGGTGAACTGCCTCCGCGCTCTTTGTCCCCTGCGTCATGCTTGATTTTACCAGCGCATTGCAAGAATCAGCAGGCATTTGCGTATCCATACCCGCGTCATCATCACCAGCGGGGGCGGAAGATGTCTCGGACTGAGCTTCATCTCGTTCTTCGCTCAAACCTGCTTGCCGTAGCATCTCGGCAATGGTTTCATGTCCTCCCTTGATCGCATATGCGAGTGCATTCTTTCCTGCATCATCCTCACTTTCCAGATGATGATCCTCCCTCGCCAGCAAGATTCGGACTATGGATTCGTAGCCTTTTGCAGCGGCAAACATCAACGCCGTTCGCGCATACATGTCCTCGGCCAAGTCTGCGGTAAAGCCGGCTTTCAGAAGCATATCCAAGATTTCACCGTTACCACTCTTGGCCGCGAGCAGAACTGGTTGTGGATCGTCTTCCCATGCTGATTCGTAGAACATGTCCATGCCATGCTGCAGTAGGGTCTTGACGGCGGCCTCATCCCCCCGGCGGACCGCGTGATTCAATGGCAAGACAATGGAAGCGGTCGAAGCCATGGAGCAATCATCTGAGTTGTTGTCTGAACCCTCCTCACCGTCTCCTTCATCTGAACCCTCCTCCTGCTGCTCCTCGTCTTCCCCTTTTGATGACTCCTCAGGAGCCTCCGCCGTCACCAACTCGCAAGCTGCATCAATGTGTCCCTTCTCAGCGGCGTACGATAGAGGAGTTCGACCAGAAGCATCCTCAATCTTCCACTCTGCTCCATACGCTATGAGCTCCTTGATCACATCGACGTGGCCTTGGATGGCAGCCCAGAAAATAGGGGTCCTCCCCAAGGCATCGACAGCCTGATAGCTTGCAGCCTTATTCAAAAGCCCCGAGACGGCATCAATTTCACCGCGTTCGGCTGCGTATGAAAGCGGCGTCCGACGGTTGGCGTCTTCCAATTCCAGGACCGAAGAAATTCGGTCAGACATGGCAGTAGTCATATCCCGCCAAGTTGGGCAACCCTGCTCGAGAAAACAAATGGACTCGAGGAACAGTTATTCGGGTCAGAAGCGGACAGAATGGCCGTCACAGGATAGCAGGTACCTTGGCTAGATGACCAGAGATATAATTGAAACTGATGAAAGCGGTGCTTGATCAAGCGACAAAAGAGAGAGGATTGAATGGCCTTTTAAAGGGGCGGCTAGCTCCACAGAGTCCACACATCCAGGCTCCCACCGGAGCCGCTGCCTGTTTAAGCGGACCGAATCTTTTCTGATTGGCCGACATGGAGTCTGGTCCATTAAACGACTCATGCTTGACGATGCTTAAACTGAGACGGGTTGCCAGTTGACCCTTAATTGTTCACGGAATATAAGGGGTCATAATTGCTCAGTAAGAGAGCGCGTTCTTCTTCTTGACATATTCATAAACAGGCTAGTATCTTTGCTAAGCAATGTCTCGTACTAGAGAATAAATGCCATGGGCTGGAATTGACTTGTGAATAAGTGGGTTCGACGGACAAGCTGTCGGACTCGGCCGAGTGTTGAAACGCGTAAGAATCAAGACAACAAGTAAAATACAAATGGCACAAATATGAGTATATTAATTGATTGATAAATAATCTGTCCCTTTTCCAGCTGAATGCGCCTTTTGCCACGTGGGTGCTGTCGATCTACTGACCCAGGTTCGGTAGTGATAACTTTACAACAAAAGTGCAGGTTCACGGGAAAAGGGTGTCAATTTCCTGAGGTAGGCATGTCCATTTCTGGAGGTCGCGACGCCGCTTTTGGAGGTCAATTTGCAAAGACACTGGGCTAACCGCCGACTGGGTCCACTCCGCAGCGAGGATCCACCCGCACAACGTATAAATTCCCCGTGGAATTGGAAGGCATAAGACATTATCAATTTCATCAATTTCTTCCGTTTTCTACTGCGTCTAATTGCTCTATGAATCTGGCTCTCATAACTCAACAACATGATAGTTAACGGTGGCACGGAAATCATTACAGTATACCTGTAGCGGCAGTCTGTTGTTAAGCGGGTCCTACATGGCTGTGCTACCTATTAAGCTATAGCCAGGCGTACGACAAGACAATATATGCTCCCTAATTAAGGAGGCAAAGCATTGTGTGTTTGGTAATTTAAGAATAGTCAGAGCTAACTAAAACGAGGAGTAGAGTGCGTTGTTAGAGATATACGCGCATTACTGCTTAGACCTATGTAGCAATCATTGTTCCTGGCCAAGCCCGCGCCAAGCAAACAGAGAATTAGGCTATAACTACTTGCATGATAACCTAATCATAGATCACCATTTATGATTAAGCATTAGAGCCACAGTGTGCGTTTTAATTTGCCGCCGCGTCGTGCAACGCTACTATTTCCTCCCGGCCTTGGCTTATATAAGATTAACATCAGAAAGGGTGACATCCATTAACGTTCCAGAATTATCTTTTTGGATACAAACACCAAGCGATGCCAAGCCCTCTCTCATGTATGTGTTCAAGATCCCAATCCGCCGATAGGTTTCCGTTGCAGTAGTTAGAACCGGTTCCAGGACAAGACATTCTACCTCTATAGGGTTCTCGGCGCCTCGCTCTGCTGTTGAGTACGACAGTAGAGTTAAAATAGTCAGCATCCCCACTTCTTGGGTTTTGATATCCACAGTATCTGGGTTAATACATGCGTTGACGTGCCGGCCGTTGATGCTTAGGACGACATTCCCATCTAAGTGCTGCGCTTTTGGTTCAAATGTCGCTTGAGAGAGGTGTCCGCGAATTGTCAAACTTTGCCGTGAGTTGGCGGCAAGTATAGATATGTGCGCTGTTGCCCTCTCTAGTGAGCCGGGAAACTGTATGTGTTCGTCCAGCGAAGCCCAGCTCCACGATGGCGCACGATACTCTGATGGATGCTTGAGCTTAGTCTCCCACACTGAATAGCACAGCTGTATCGCGAGATTTGATTTCCAGAGTCCGGCGATGTATTCATCTCTGGACCAGTCACGGAATATACTGGCTAATCCAGCGAGAGCAAACAACTTGTCACTCGTCTTGGTAAACTCGCATCGCGAGTACTCTTGCACCAGATTATTCCACGTTTTTAGTCCTTGCGGTGAAATAGAGCAACCTTGCTGGCTCATCGCGTTATGGCCTTGTGTAGAGTAGATAATGTTTGACATGTCGCGCTTTTTAGATGAAACACTACCAGGGATTCCATACGGAAAAGCCTCGCACTTTTGCTCGACGAAACATTCCCAGAAGACTTGCTCCTCTGTGAAGTAGAGAACTCTGGGACAGAGGAGCCGCTCTTGGAATACCCAACCACGTTGGAGTAGCGCACTGGAGAAGAGTTGTCGGCTAGCGTAAGCGTCGTCAAACACATAATAAGTCTTCGGGGGCTTATTTGAGTTCACAACAGCACGTACAAGACCCGGTCGAAGCTCTTCCGGGTCTCTAGTTCGAAAAAGACCTCCGTCTGGGCTATCTGATAAGGCGGCAGCGATGTTGCATAATGCGTTGGCGTAGACACGTCCCATGGTAGTCGCCTCACGTTCCCAATCTGCTCTAGAATCTTGAACGATGCAGAGCGCATCAATCCAGAGAAATCTGACGGCAAATCTTTGCGCAATCGAAATAGCGTCGCGGAACGTGCTGGGAAGGTCGTCAATGGGTCTTCCTTCCTGAAAAGAGTTAATGTTTGTCGTAAGGAGCTGCAAATTAGCGTTTAAGCCCCATCTATAGCTTAAGGTCATATAAACGGGCGTGTGCTGGAGTTTATCAGGAAGTAAATCAAGTTTCCATTTTGTATCACCTTTGATCCCAATATTAATTAGACGTGTTGGCCGCCAGGCTTCCTTAGTTCGAAGCTGCCGACATTCCAAATGACGTTCGTGGCAGTTGAGCGTCCATCGCAGAGCCAAATCAAGAGTGGAGAGGGAAGAAGTCTGGGGCTCCATCTCGGAAGAGAAGAAACGGGGCTCATCTTGTTTGTCTGCCACGTTAGATTAATATATATAAACACTTGGCGACCGTTTCACCGAGGTCGCCATACTGACCGCTCTGTAAGATCAATCTGAATACTACATCCGCGAAGTGCTGCTCATCGCTGTATATAACACTTAAAATTATTCTCATCAAGTTCTCTCTCTCGCTCCAGAGATTGCAAATCATAGGCTTCCAGGCTGTGTCAGCGCCGTTGATCCAGGATGGCTGCCGACGAGACTTGAGAACCTTCCATATAGTTGAACAAATGAAGCATCCGCTTGAGACTGCATTACAAAAATCTTCCAGGCTCTCGTGGTGCCGTTGGAAATACCTCGGTAAAGTAGCTCGATCCTGCGCGGCCTGCTCAGGACATAATGCCTGTTTGCAGCTTCGACAAAGCTTGCTTAACTCCATGGGTGAGGGGAATACAGTGCGAACTACAGATTTCTTTAAGCATGAATAAGTCGGTTCGCCTTCCACGACCAGCACCGATGGCTACTAATTGCTGTATGAAGTGTAGTTCCACGTGTTGATGACTGATCAGCTGGTGAGTCAAAGGGAGAGAGGAGAGGGTAATGGGAGGGAATGTGAAAATGTTGGGCGGGAGTGGCAGGTAGTCGGGACTTAGTCCGTATAGAAATCTGTGGAGCGGCGGGTTAAGAAAGTGGGACATCTTCCCTAAAGGAGAAGGCGGTGGAGCGCGGAAGCCAATCAATTTGCAACGATTGACTTTACTGGTAGAAAATAAACTCACATAAGCTAGATTGGAGAACTTGAATTAAACTAAGTGCTAAGAGAGCTTAAACCTATCATATGCCTATTATAAAGCTACCAAGACCAGTGAGTAAACCTGTAGTACTGTTCGCGTTTGTAGCTAATACACACTTATACTTGAGCAGTCTATTCATTCCTTACTATACAAAGCGCCAAAAACAGCGACAGCTCCCGCCCGATAAGAGGGGAGAACAGCGCTTCCTGGATCTTGTCTGTATTTCACTGCCTGGTATACCGAGCCACAACACCAATGTCTAAAAGGACGCACAGCCTCCGCCGGCGCGGTCCATGTTTTACGCCCCAAACTTTCCTTTCAGTCTGGGGAATAACTTCTCCGCGGCCCCGTGATATATCTCTTTCCTCGCATCATCGTCCATGGGGAATTCGTCAATAAACTTGGTGAATTTCTGGCTAAATGCGGCCGTGGCGTGTGGAAAGTCGCTGCCAAAGAGAAGGTGGCTTTTCTTGGCGAATCCCAGAATCAGGGGGAGCATTTCATTGCTTCCCGAGAGTGCAAGGTCAAAGTAGAAGCTTTTTGCCTGGCTAACAATGTCCTCGGCGCTCATCACGCCACCGAATTCGGGGAGCTCTATCATGCAAGCCCGTGTGACCAACGCCGCCAGGGTACCACCGCCATGAGACAGTATGATCTTGACATTGGGGAACTGCTGCGGGCGCCGTTTGAGGATCAGGTCCATGGCTGTGCGTCCCGTCTCGTGGGGCCAATCAAAGGCAGGCATCGGCAGTCTCTCGTCCCAATACACCGAGTCCTTGTGGTTGATGGGGTGGACGAAGACGACTGCGTTGCGGCGATTGAGTTCCTCCCATACGGGGACATACTCTGGGTGGCCCAGGTATCCGCCCGGGGTGGCATAACTGGTAAACAAGGTGACACCGTCCGCGTGTAGGGTGTCGAAAGCATAGCGAATCTCGCGCAGCACAAGATCAGTATGCTCGAGAGAGGGGAGCGTCGCAAAGAATCCATTGGAAGGGTTTTGGTCACGAAGCGAGGCGCTGTACTCGTTCATGGCCCGCGCGACTTTGGCGCTCTCCTCTGGGTCGGAGATGAAGGTGACACCTGGCGTGCTGACGGAGAAGATTGCCGACTGCACATTCACGGACTTGTTGAAGGCCTCGTCGCTGGAAACGCTCCAGTCGGGGACTTTCATGCCCTTCAGCCCTTCATCCACGCCTATAAAGAGAAATATTAGCCAAGTCGTTTGATATGCGGGTGCCAGCAGAGAACGAACCGCGAAGCTGAGGAGGCATAATGTGGTGGTGGACATCGACTTTGGGGATGGCAGACATGTTGAAGTAGAAACGGTGAGATTGGGCGTGTTTGGGTCGCTAGAGACTCGGTCAATTGATTGATCTGGCTCTGGGCTTTTGTGGGAGAAGTTCTTGACAATGAGATGACGGGAAGGCGGTTTATATACATGGTAGATGCGCTTGTTGACCTTGACGTTTGTACTTCTGCCCGAGGCGTCGTCTCACTTCACAAACGGGGAACAGTCCGATCGGCAGTTGGGACTTGGGAGGTTTCGGGGAACGTTCCGATCTCCCATTGAACCAATCAACTGCCGGACTCACCGGGGTCCATCCATGACGTCACTCACAGACAAACCGCCGCGAAACGTCCCGGCCGCAACGGAAACGCTCCAGATACAAGCAGCGACGCCGCGTAATCTTCCGAGTCGCAGGTGTAGCCAGGGCATCGGTGGGAGCTCTTTACTTTCCTCGAAGTCTGCGGGATGGCGCCGGACAATGAGCATGGCCACCAGCCATCCAAGCGCCGCAAGGTTCGCGAATCATGCAAGATATGCAGAGCCAAGAAGACGCGGTGCGATGGCCAGCGTCCGGTCTGTTCCCCGTGCGTGGCAAAGGGTGCTGCGTGTGAATACGATGACATGACCGTTCCCGTGTCTTCCAACACATTGGCGGATATCAAGGCCCGCTTGCAACATCTAGAGCGTCAATCTACAGCCACCTGGCAAAGTCCACGCAACACGGCAGAAGACCAAGGCCGAGAAAATGACTCGACATTTGCAGACAATCCAACGACACAGTTTCTTTCCGACATGACGCAAGTTGCCGGCCTCCAATCCTCCGCATCTCTGGATCATGCGTCAATCCGGCGCAGGAGCGGCGCCTGGCTTGTCGAGACGGACACATCATCCATGGTGGTCCCGAGAAGAGCTACCGCAGACGACTTGATTGACTGCTATGAGCGATTTGTATACCCCCTTTTTCCTATTCTACATTTGCCGAGTTTTAGAGCAAGCTACATGTGCCTTTGGGAACCAGAGAGGCCGGGCCCGTGGGAGACTCTGGCCATGGAAGCGACCTTTTATGCAACGCTCAATATCGTTTTTGCTTTGGGTTGCATCAACAACTCCAACGTTGAGCCGCATCTGAAATTGCGGACTGCTGAAAGCTTCTACCGCCGGGCTCGAACTCTGATGCCTCTCGACGCCCTCGACAGCCCAAGCTTGGAAGTAGTGCAATACCTTCTTCTCACCACACATTACCTGAGCTTCACCAAATATTCACATCGATGCGGCAATACACTGGCAGTAGCGATCCGGGTTTCCCAAACTCTGGGTCTGCATGTTGATAAAGAATCCTCGTCCAAGAGTCAACTGCGGCGAGAGATGAGCAGGCGGGTATGGCATCTCTGCATTACCATGGAAAGGTATGTGACTATTCCGCCATTGACCTGGCCTTTGCAACCAATACCATCCCAAACCGCCGTACTAAACAAAAATAGGTTACTGTCAAGTCTGTTTGGATGGAGGGCCCTAACTCAACTCGACGGCAAAGTCCCTCTTCCCAGTGCCATTGATGACGAGTATCTCTTGGAAGACGGAGAGGGCGTCCAGCCCACAGCGAGACCTTCGCTTCTTGACTCCTTCATCGCAACGATCAAGATATTCGATGTATTCCACCGTGCTCCAGACATCAATGACGGCTATTTTGCCCGTGCGCTTTGTTTACCTGAGCTTGCCCAAGTCTTGCAGTTGAACGAGGAGCTGGACCAAATCGACGCCAGCCTGCCAGCTCACCTGCGATCCGACAACCACGAGAAGCCAAGCACACGGCGTGGCCGAGCACTAAGCCTGCAGGCAGTAGCAGTCAAAATCAGGTTGACACCAACTCTGGCCTCGTGGCGAATTCAGCATCTAACACGCACACAGAATCCTGCACACCCGCCTCGTGCTCCTCCGGCCCAACATGCTGGCCACGGCTCGGCGAACAATCCTCGCACCGGCGTTTGATGCGCCTCCGTCGCGTGCAGAAGCCACCTTGGGGATTGAGGTGTCCACCATTTGCGTCCAGGCGGCGCTGTCGGCGATCGGCTTGCTTCATGAGAATCTGCAGTCGTGCTGCCGCATTTTCAGCTCGACCGCAGTCTATGTGACACTGTCTACGGCAACGGTGATTATCGCTTCCACGCTGGTGCCCGAGCTGGGGGTCAGTCTGGAGGATGGTGCCGGGCCTCACGGGCAGGCCGTGGCGAATGCCTTCCAGGTGCTGGACGAGCATCGGTGGCAGATAGAAGGGGCGCCCAGGGCCAGGGGCCAACTGGGGAGATTCCTAGAAACGGTGAATAAGGAGAAGAGGCGCCAGAGTGGAGGTACGCTACGTCCTGTCGTGGTCCGTTTCCGAACCCTCTTGTGTCTAAACAGATTCTGATGGCCTTGATGTGTCTAGTGGATCACGACTTGAGTGCCATTCTTGGTCCGAATGCCACGGATGTGGAATTTGGGGCGGAGGGTACCTTTGATGAAATCGACTTGAGCAATCCTCTCTGGAACTTCCAGCTTTGGGATCTGGTTTAGGCTTATCATCTAGCGGCTCTTGTTTGTGCATGGCTTTCAAGCAAGACAGTGCCAGATGGTGCCATGTTGTTCTCTGCTTTAACACCAATGCAGTAGTCCTTATCTACTAATTGCCTAGGATGCAGGAGAATGCCGTCAGTACGACAAGGTGTGCCCTGTGGCAAAACAGCCTGGCTACAGAGGTCGAGTTCGAAGTGGTTGCTTGGCTTGTGCCCCAGAGAGGTGAAATTTGATGAACAACGACCGTGCTGCAACAACTGTGTGAAGCTAAAGGGGGCATATGCTTACAGTCCTTGGCAAAATCAACGCCGCCGCGTCGAATTTCTGAACAGAGGGATTTTGTCGTGGCAAAGCCTGTTCGTGCGCCGGGGATGGAGATGAGAAAGGAGGCAGACCAAGCCTCACTCACACCTCTGAATTCCCCTCTGAAGACCCAGACGATGGAATCAGAGAGCTGCCTCACATTCACTCCGCCGCCCCTCCGGATTCTACACACCTCGCGTCTCATGTATCCGAATGAGTCAATCGTCAGCGTTATTGTGCGCCTCAAGGAGGCGCGGTGGCATCGAGACAAGCGATGCATGTGCCTTGGACCCGAATTACTTTCGTACGAGGTCATAAAGGAGATCTGACTTGGGACGGCAGTTGACAGTATTGCAAGGAGGTAGTGCATCGTTCAGGGTAACCACACATGCAACCGGAACGGAAACAGCATAAGAGTCAGCTTACAGTCGATTTAGCAGCTCTTGGGCCAAGCATAGACTATAAAGAGGTTACCGCGCCAGGATTGTAGCAGACAGCCTCTGTAATGAAGTTTATACTGTGTCTCGATAAGATCAAGTTCCGTCATGGCCAAGTTATTCGGTCTTGTTGCTTTAGATCATTTCCTGCAGCCCTTTTTAAATGCCAAATCTTCCTCTCGTTCGAGATGTATAACCGCTCTTTCGGCCGTCCGGATTTCCAATGAGTAGACCCGACAGCTAGCAATTATGTCAAGTTTGCGCGTTCCATTGAAAAGAGATATTGCTATGCGGGAGTATAGTTTGTAACAAGTATAGCCATGTACCAATAACGCCACATTTTGTTAACATTTCGAGCCAGCGTTGAGAGAGATGAGGATGGTAATTGTGCGCTGGACAGGAGAATAGCTAAGCATGGCAAAAGCTAAGCATGGCAAAGCTTATTGCTGAGGGTGTACAAGGTCTACAGAAGATTCATGTTGCCGTGCAACCCCACGAGCCGTCGCACTGCAAGCTGCGGATGTGTCTGGCGGCTGAGTTCTGGTGCAAATGATGGCGGAGTCCAAAGCAAAGTATGGTTGATGGGGGCAACTTTGGAAGAGCCCTTCAAAGGCCGTATAGCGTAACTCTGTGAAGATGTAAATCGTGATACTCAAATTCCCTTGGAGATGCGCAAGGCAAGGGGGGGGATGGCGCCAGCCGCTTTTTCGTATACGTGACAAGGGCTTGGAAACGATTCAATTCAACGATAATCGAGTAGGGTGTCCAAGGTCCTTGGCTTTCCAAGAAGAAAGAAGGGGACCATAACTATTATATATACATAAAGGGAACGGCTATACCTGGGGGTCTTAGCCGGGTACGTGTTGGTCATGATATCGGGTCCTCTCGTGAAGCTAGAGCTTGCTGCGACCCATGTTTCTTGGTCGCGTAGAGAGTTAGAAATAAACTGTCATTGTTACAAGGAAAAGGCTTAACAAGATGGCGAGCCCAATAAAGGGGCACACCGATCAAGGACTTGTTGGTTACGCAGCTGGAACACGTGCCTGCGTAAGAGCCCCAGGCACGAGTGCTCCTTTAATGTAAATATAGTAGTTATTAATCCCCTGGATCCTCTTGGAAACCAAGGACCTTTAACACCCTACGATATTTCCGGCTCTTGTCAAAGTCATCGGCAATACCACGATAATACGCGGTTCCAACCGCAATCGACCGCAAGTAACTGGCCAAGTCTCCCTAAGCTAGCTTTGAAACGTCCACGAAAGAGCCGCATCTACCAGGTGACGGGCAAAGAAGGGTACCCGGGTTCTTTGAAGCTCAAAGTATAATTCTCAATAGATGACCTTGCCTTCACATACGACCATCGCCGTTAGCAAAGTTCAGGTTCCCGTCCGATCACCCACGACAAGCTAACGAGCGCCGGATTAGTAGTTGGGTCGGTGACGACCAGCGAATACCCGGTGTTGTATGTTTTTTTGCCCTTCTCGTCTCTTAAATAGACGTAAATATTAAGCTAGACCAAGAAAGAGGTCTCTGTCACGTACAACTATAGCTGTTACACGGTTTTGGCCCAATAACAATAAGACCGAACAAAGGAGCCTCACCGACAAAGGCCATGGAGTTTACACAGATTGAACACATGACCGTGCAGAAAGGATATAGTGTCAAGTCCGTTTTGAAGGACAGAGAACCGAGAGTTGGTGTGGGAGGACTACGGTTTGCCGCCGTACTTTACGTCAATGCGTCTGGTTGCAAAACGGATGGTGCCGCGACCGGCGGAGCACAGCCCAACTGCTGGTTACAACCACACCTCAGAGCACTCTCCCCTGGTTACCTACAAGGTTAAAGGCTTGTTCAGTCCGCCAATGGCTGACTTCCATGCCACCACCAGCCCACGCTGATTCTTTACAAGGCATTAATCAGGTATGTGTCATTGAGATTAGGCAGGCAATACTTGGGACGTAGCGCATCAGAGCGGCAAGGAACATATATTTTTAAGTAGACCCGAATGGAAATACGTCCTTCGCTTGCTTTTTATCAAAGATGAGTATTAGCGAATAATACGTGACGATACAAGCGTATAAAAATAGTTGTGCGTAACTCGGATAAAGCGGTTATTCAGTCTGGAAGAAAAGGCGAAAAAAACTGACTCGCTATCTAGGTCTTAAAGTGGGGCTGTTCCCTTGTAATTTACTTGTAGCATAATATTAACGTGTCAAGAAAAGTAATATATTACTTGCATGAAAGTTATATTCCCAGCACTTTATGCTACTAGTATATTACTTTTATGCTCTTCGTTTCACTTATATTACTTAATACCTGTTTAATAGAAACCGATTATTATGCTAATATTACCTGCATTAACTTTCATGCACGCACGTAATTAATGCTAATGCGCAACGTTTTCTGTTGACAAGTTATAATACTAGTTTATATTATAATTAAAATTATGCTAGCTTTACTACTTGTATTAGGATGCGCTTGTATACTATTTGCTTGCCTCTATAGCAGCTGTGCTGCAAGGGTTATCATGCGATAATTTGGTACCACGAGTCAGCTGAACGCTTATAAATTTATGCGCAAGTATATGCCTTAAAATATAAACTGCCTTATTTTACTTTTAGCTTTACAGAACTACAACTCGTGCCACGCTCCATCTAAAGGTGTATTATATCACGCTATTAATCTATTACTGGTAAAAATTTATAAAGAATAAAAAAATATCTAAAAGATGCTCTTTACCTCGCAAAATAGCAACCAATATCTTGACCACTCGCAATTCATCTCTACAACATTAACAGCCCATCCATCACCATGAAGCACTTTGCTGCCCTGATTCTGGCGTCTGCCCTGGCCGTCCCGCTGGGTGCTTTGCCTGTCGAACCATTTACGCCAACATCACAAAATCTTCCCACCGTCGTCTACCGTGGCGATCCGATTCCTCCAGAACAGTATAAAAAAGACGGCGGAATCCCGCCCGACTTCACGGGAAACATGACAGAAAGGTCATACAGTTTGTATTGGCACAATGTTGGTACCGATTCAGACCCCGACAGAAATTTCCAATCGGCTTACGCGGCAACCTCGACGGAATTTGCAGCCGCTGTTTCTTTTGCTATCCAGCACAATCCAAACGAAGGAGGATGGATATATGAAATCCACGCCACGCCAAATATAATTGACTTAGAACACTCTGATTTTGAGCCTATGTATAAAGAGCACTCGTTTGCTGCCGTGGGGGGAATACGCTGGGACCAGGTTAAGGCCTCCATTTGGGTTCCCAAGAGTGTGACGACCCGCAAGGACGCCGGCGGTATCCAGGAAGAAGAGAAAAAGAGGTGGCAGACAGCTGAGGATTTTGGGAAGGAGTTCCCCTTCGCCCGGGTCATTAACGGAGACTACAACCCGGTATACGACCAATATCGCGTTAGTCAAGGACAGCCTCAACTTGCTGGCGTGCCGAAGGGGAGAGGACCAGGGCCACTTGCGAGCGAATTCGCAAAGGGGAACAAGACTTTGAAGCAGCATGCCATTGAGTTTATGAACAAGGTTGGCGCGCCTGTGGGCTGGAAGGGGACCTTTCCACTTGACCTCAAGGCTCCTGTAAGCTGTCGAGCGTAACTGCTACGGCTTTACGATATGCCGGCAGAGTTCGTATCAAGGATATTATAAAGGGAATAGACGCCAAATTAAGGCAACGTGTTGAGATGACGTTGCTTGTTTAGGCAATAGCTATATTCTGATAAATATTTGAAACAAAAAAGAAATAAAAAAAGCCTACCGCTATCAACCTTGCTTCTTAATAGGTCGCTGTCAGAGAGACTGGAGTCTGAAAAAAACACATACAACACCGGGTATTCGCTGGTCGTCACGGACCCAACTACTAATCCGGCGCTCGCTAGGTTATCGTACGAGATCGACGGGCTCCGGTTCGTGCTGGCGGTTATATATTGACCCTTCGCACCGTCACCACTGATCCTTGCGACGGATTAGTCGTTAAATGGCCGCCATCAATATGTCTGTTATCCAATATGCCGGAACAGGCGCAACTGCCGCCGCTGAAATACCAGACAGGAACTCCGACAAACATAACACCATAGATAGTGGTGGCAAATAAAAAGGCTAGGCCAGCGCCTAGTTAATAGCAGGCAGAATTACGGTAAAATCTATTTTGTTGTCCTTCTTTTGATGGAATATACTAAGGCGACTACGTGCGTAGAAGAGGAAAAAGTAACCTAAAAAGGATCCTTTTATAGGCTTACCTTGTGATTTCCTATACTGTCTATGCGTTACTTACGTAACTAAAGCTCCTGGTTACAAATGTGCCTCTTAGAATAGTGAGTGGGTTATTCGAATAAAAGGATAGCTACCGTGCTGACGCGGAGGGCGTAGAAGGCATGATATTAGCTCAAGGTGCCCACCTGATACCAGCCTGGGGAGGATTACGGCTTGCCGCCGTACTTTACGTCGATACATGCAGCCCTACTCTGACCACGTCTATTCGGTTTTCGTTGGCTATCTGCTAATATATAGCTGCCGCCTTATACAAGATCCTGATGCTGCCGAGTTGTCCTAGGGTAGGCAAAGCGGGCGAGAATGACTACATGGATCAACCAGATCTTACACCCTCCGGGGACCGCTGGTTCTGGCAAACAAGATGTGCCGGGGATTGGTAATTGGGGCCCTTGGCACATGTAGCAAGGGCCGACCCGTCACAGACATGCAGCGAGCACAATAATTAGTGACACCAAATCCATTGACAGTTCCTCAGCTGGGCCTCATCTGCTGGCGATGTCTTGGCTCAGCAGATGCAGAGACGGCGATCGTTGCCTCGTCGGGACAAGTGTTTGACAAGTTCTGTCTGTGAAGAGTCAAGTCACGGTTGGCACGACCAGCCGTCCCGCGAGGCACGAGCTGTCAGACGAGCTACATGTCTGATCTGTCAGCCCTTTGCCGTCTTATTGCGTCATGTACGCCGCCACAAGCGCGTATTCGAGACACGGCGGTGGCAACATGCATCCGGCTTTTATCGGCATCAGACGTACCAAGGTAGCGGCCGCCTGTGACAAGGGGTTTAGAACAGTGTTCATATTCAGCTAATACTTTGCTTTAATATCAAAGATCCTTGGTTCTCCTTAAGGCCTTAAGGGCGTAAGACCTTTATTTATATTACAGAGCGGTAAGGGACCTTGCCCTAGGTCTTGTGATTAGAGCGCTTGTGTACCTATCGTCGGGTTCAAGCTGAGGCCTGTGCCTTCATGGCAACGCGTCATCCGTGTAACACCACCTGCCATGACCAGAGTCTGAAGCCCGGGAGAAACACGTTAAGTGACACATGTATATATAGACAGATAGTTGGCGGTAGACTCGCTGCCCCTCTAAGCCCAAGTAGTTTCATGTCCTCAAGCAGATACCTCACGGGCACGGAACATCGGAACTGTTCCTTCATAACCCAATGTCCAGCCAAGAGGTCAAAATGCCTGGGCAACTTCCCCCCTACAGGCCCAGCCTGATCGACCGCGTTCTAGCCAAGGCCTTTGGCATAATTAACAAGGTCGTGCCGTGGTACAAGTTCCCCGGCATCATCGGGACCCTCAACCTCGAGGCAATCAGGACAACTTTGCGCCGCAACAACCTCCACGACGGCTACCCACCCGGACACGCTGTGGTCAGCATGGCCGAGCCAGAGCCCATGGATGAGCGCTTCCTCCACGCGCGAAACTCGGACGGAAAATACAACTCGCTTACGATGCCACGCATGGGCTGTGCGGGCATGAGGTTCGGTCGCCAGTTTCCTCGTGAATACTGCCGCAAGCCAACAGAAGAAGAGCTCTGGAATCCGAATCCTCGCGTCATTAGTGAAAGGTTCATGAAGCGCCGGGAGGGTGGTTTCATCCCCGCCACGACGCTTAACCTTCTCGCCGCCGCCTGGATTCAGTTTCAGACACACGATTGGATGGCTCATGAAAAGGTCCGTCGTGGCCAGTTGGTTGGGGAAAATGTGCGACGTAGGCTAACAAACTTGGGCCCAGGCTCACGACTCGTATGACGTTCCTCTTCCAGAAGGAGACGGCTGGCCAGGTGGTCGGATGGAACTGCTCAAGACGCAGCCCGACGAGATCCTTGACGCCTCGGATATCGAAACACCGGGATACAAGAACGTGAATACGGCCTGGTGGGATGGGTCCCAGATTTACGGCTCGAGCGAGGTCGAAACGGAGAGGCTGCGCACCGCGCACGAGGACGGCAAGTTGAGGCAGATTTCCTACGACGCGGCCGGCGTCCCTCTGACTGGTTTCGTCGACAACTGGTGGTTTGGCCTGCACATTCTTCACTCGCTCTTTGTTCTCGAGCACAACGCCATCTGCGACAGGCTCCGTCGGGCGTATCCAGATTGGAACGGGTACGTGGGCCATTTTCCCGTCTTCTGCTCGGCAAGATTTCCTAACCGTCTGTTTGGCGCAGTACCGACATCTTCGATACTGCCCGGCTCGTCAACTGCGCACTCATGGCCAAGATCCATACGGTCGAATGGACGCCGGCGGTTCTCGGCCACCCGGCTCTGCAGATTGGCATGAATGCGAATTGGTGGGGGCTCGCCGGCGAAACCCTCACAAATCTCGTCGGCCGGCTGTCCAAGACGAGCGAGATAATCAGCGGCATTCCGGGGTCTCCAACCGAGCTCTTTGGCGTTCCCTACTCCCTCACCGAGGAGTTTGTGTCCGTCTACAGAATGCACCCCTTGATTCCAGGCAAGTCGATCCTCCCCGGCATATAACAAGAGGACACATGTCTAATGCCACGGGCCCAAATAGACAGCGTTGCCTTTTTCAACTGCGCCACGGGCGCGCACCATTCGACTGTGCCCATCAAGGACATCATCTTCCACCAGGCACCGGCGCCCTTCAAGACGGGCCTCGACTTATCCGACGCCTTTTACTCGTTTGGCATCAACTATGCCGGCGCCATCACGAATAACAACTACCCCGATTTCTTGCGCAGCCTGCACACGCCCGACGGCCAAGTCCGCGACCTGGGAACCGTCGACATCCTCCGAGACCGCGAGCGCGGCGTCCCGCGGTACAACCAGTTCCGCAGACTGCTGGGCATGTCGGCTCCCGAGACGTTTGAGCAACTGACGGGCGGTAATAACGAGTTGGCGCAAGAACTGCGCGACGTCTACGGCGACATTGAGCTCGTGGATACCCTCGTCGGGTCGCACAGTGAGCCGCTCATCAAGGGCTTCGGCTTTAGCGAGACGGCCTTTCGCGTTTTCATCCTAATGGCAAGTAATCGCCTCAAGAGCGATCGCTTCTTCGCCGGCTCGTGGAACGCGCAGACGTACACCGAGGAAGGGCTGCATTGGGTGCAGCATACCACCATGAAGGATATTTTGCGGAGACACTGTCCGGAGCTGGGCCCGGTCCTGGATCAGAGCGAAAACGTGTTTGCGCCGTGGACCAAGCTGCCCAAGTCCAAGGCGTATGGGGGCATTGAGACAAATGCCTGAGACTGGGGGAGTTGTTTTAGAGTAAAAGTGACGCCAACGTATGGCGTTCAACCGACGTTGCTTGTCTGTAGTTTCAGTACCATCTCGAGCACTAGATTGATAGTTGGGTCGGTGACGACTAGTCAACAGTGTGTTATATTCTGTTGCGCTTCTTGTCTTGAATGTTATAAAGTAAGATAAAGAGAGGTCTGTCACATACGGCCACAGCCGCCAGTAGAACTCACGATCCCGTCTGATCTCGTATGATAACCTGGCGAGCGCTGGATTAGTAGTTGGGTCGGTGACGACCAGCGAATACCTAGTGTTGTATGTGCTCTTATTTTTGTGCCCCTTATCTTTTTGCCATGCAGCTCCATCTCGTTATCCGCATCTTCCATGTTAGACCAGACAATTCAGCATCTTCTTCAACGCTATCGGCTTTTCAAATGCAAGTGATTGTTACTTTCCGTGGGCCTGTACCTCCGTGTAACAGAAATGATCCGCGTGAGAATGATGAACGCATCAACTCTGTTTCGATTCCAAAGAGGCGGTTATTGACCTTGCCAGGTGATTTTTCTTTAGTGGCAAAAGTATGCCATCATCTCCAGTTCTTTGCACATCGACGACTTCCCAGTCCACTATACAAGGCTGCTCAATAACAAATCAGTTAAATCCAATATTACAACATGTAATATATGGTTATTATTACACGGAAAAGGCCTAATAGATCGTGAAGCCTAATAAAAGGGCTTTACATTAATATAAGACTTATTAGTTATATAGCTAGAATATATACCTAGGTAAGGTTTTTAAGCTTAAGTATTTCTTTTATA